CAAAATGCAAAATGATTATATCCGTGATAGGGTTGGTGTAGTTCCAATGGTGGATAAAATTATAGAGAATCGTCTTAGATGGTTTTTTCATATTAAATGTCGACCATCTGATGATCCTGCTAGGAGAGTAGATGTTTCAGATTCGACTTATGTTAAGAAAGACTGAGGTAGACTTAGAAAGACTTGGGCATATTGTATAAAAGATGATCTTAATTTATTAGAATTAAATGAAAATATGACACTCAATAGGACGCAATGGAGAAAAGGATTCATGTAGCTAACCCATTTAGTGGGATAAAGACTTGTTGTTGTTGTTAAAGTTTATAAATTTTAATTTGCTTGAAGACGCTCCAATATCTCTCATAGCCAACAACACTAAATCAATCATAATATTTTAACAGTCAATTTTTGCAAGGCTGGAGTTGATGCACCGTACATCTCTCTCCGTTCTATTGTGATAAATATGATGTCATGTTCAAGTAAAACTATTCAATTAAAGACTGAAAATATTCTAAAAATTTATACTAATCATACTTGAAGCTTTCTTATCTTTATTGCGAAAAGACCTAGCATAATTATAAATAGAAAGTTATTGATGTGACATCATTCTTTCATTTGGATCCTCTTATCTTTATTGCGAAAAGACCTAGCATAATTATAAATAGAAAGTTATTGATGTGACATCATTCTTTCATTTGGATCCTCTACTAGTCTGTTAATAATTTTATATACGTTTTCCATCAATTATGCATTTGATTATATCTTAGACTTACTATATTAAAAATTCTAGATCAAAATAATATCCATTTTTATGTAATATTTGTTGAAGTTGACACCTCCATTTATTGTCAATAATCCAAAAAAATTGCTTATATTTTTTTCATCTCTCCTATATGAATCACTAATTGCATTCTTGACTTTGTTTATTACATCATAAATATTGTAGGGCGCTTATTATTGTCTGCTAATCTCAACATTTTCACAATAAGATTTATAGCCATTAAAATGTTGGACACATCATTCCAAAAGCTAGTCTTAAGGATGATCTCCTTGGTTTTTTTTTTTTCCTTTATAATCAACACTAAATCTAGATTTATCTCAATCTTCGGAAACAAACATTTGCCTTATATTTTCTTTTTGCTTATATATGGGAAGAGAGAAAATGTCGCAAAACGAATGATTTCCGATCTCGCTAATTGTGAACCACTAGTGTATTTCCTCATTATTAAAAAAAGTCTATAATTGTATATGTAACTAGTTAACCTAAAGCTTTTTTTATTGAATTTTTTACTTCACTCATCTTCTCAGTGTCCTTTAACATAAAATCAATACAATATGCAACACATGGTGTCCAATACATGTGTGTCTTTTTTTCCATTAACACCTACATAAACAAAAAAAATATTTTGATATTTTTAATTTAAAGAAAAATAAGTTATATATGCATTTAATAGTAAATAAAATAAATTAGAAACCTATAAGAACCTAGCTGGGGTGATTATTTGTAACCGCTTAAAACACATTTTTTTCTCCAATTTTTTATTTGTGCATTTAAGAGTTTAAAAAGCTTCACCACAATTTTTGAATATTCAGATGCATTTATGGACTCTAAAACTACAGTAACTGAAGATGAATTAACCGAAAAATTAATTACAAATCGTTTTCTATGATCAATCCATCCATTAGACATAAGAGCGCTTCTCTTCTCTTCTCAAAATTTTTTATGATCTTTTATATCATTTATAGTTGAACTTATTTTTTTTTCAAGTAGAGAAACTCTTAACTTATAATAAGTTGGTAGTGGAAGACTTCGTTTATATTGTGCAATTGTCACAATCATATGATTAAAAGTCTCCAATTTTATTTCATTACGAGAGATTCCTACATAATAAAACCAGACAGTAATGTATTATATTGTTCTTTATTTGATAGCTTTTATCTGCATTTACTTTAATTCTCATCTGTCGCATTTTCTTCCTTCTAGCAACTTCCTTTTCAGGTTCATTATATAAAAATTTCTCATTTTAGATATGTTCATATTGACTGATACTGAACTTGATTTAGATGCTCTTTTAACATAATGCAAAGACAGTTGAATATCTGTTTCTTCATTTATATTATCCTTTTTCTCATTGTCCTCCATATACAAACTTTGTTTGGATTTTCTTACCCCCTCTTAATAAGCAAATAAGTCTTCTCCTACATCTGAACATAGTTTCTTGCATTTAATAACATTCTTCTTTTTGACATTGGAAGGACCAATAAGGTGCTCCTTTGCTCGAGATAGACTTTCATTTGTCTCCTTACTTAAATGCATATATGACAAAGTGTGCTAAATTCATATTTTAAATTTATATATTTTCAAGTTGGTTCTTTTCTCCTTATGTTTGAATCGATCATACCTAAATTATTTTTTCATCGACAAACAAATCGTTAATTACAATGTACACCAAAATCATTAAATTCAATGAATATAAAGATTTCATTTGTAAATATTATTTATATATCTAACACTTTAAGTCTTTTATATAGGACATTTACATACAAACCATCCATTTTTTATATATTTATATAATTTAATTATTAGCAACATAGTGTTATTTAAATATGCTCCTTAACATGTTTCTCGCTTTTGTCTGATTCCATCTTTACCGTTAGCAAGTATTTTAGTGCAACAATAAATTGAAATGCAATACATTATATTTATTTTTATTTTATTTTGTTTGCACAGAAAATTTATCAATGTATGAGGAAATAAAATTGCAGCTTTTTAAAGCGTTGCTAATTGAATTAGCTGGTACGCCCCTTTAAAAACTAATTGTCATGAGGTTAAAGAAGGTCACAATCACTTGGCATAGAAATGATCAAGATGAAGAATTTAATTATACTCAATTAATTATTACTCTCATGGTGAAGAAAAACGATTTCATGAACTAATTTGCTCAATTTTTGTATATACCACTTAATTAGTTATCTAAATTCAAAAATTGATCCTCTAAAAATTTGAGTGACATGCATTTAAATATGAGCATTTAACTGTTTGATATATAAAATACCTAAGAACCGTGTGGTATGAATGTAGATGCCCGACTAAAATTATTTAAATACATATATGAAAGCAAAAAAAATATGTTTAACTTATGTAAAAATAGTTTTATATTATTTAAATGCTATGATACTAAATATATTAAGTTATATAACTTTTCATGCCAAATGTGCTGCTTCAGGGCACAAGTTACTTGTGAACATGATGGAAGCGAAGCAAACAACGACAAAGTGGCGTTGATGAGATTGAAATGGCGTTGGATCCTCTTGATTCAACTAGAACGAAAATAAAGCGGTGTTCCTCTTGAGTTCTAGGCCAAAGTCACGGCAACGCAACGAGAACATTATGAGTTGACCTTGCCGTTGGCTTCCACTCCTTAGTACTGTAATCCAAATTTGAAGGGCTTGTGCTTCTCTCCAACACGAGACCCAAGAAGGTTGCTTTGCTCTGCTCCCTTGCGTTCTCTCGATTTCTTGAGCAGTTGTGCTCTATACGGAAGATTCAAACCTTCGAACAGTTTTTATTTTCTCTCACTACTGAATCAGACTGATTGCTCACACCATTTTCTTTGCTTCGACACTTCGAATTGCTCTTCACGCGCGAAGCTTGTGCTTTGCATATAGTGGCCGCGCGAGGTGCGTGCTCCCAATGCAGTGACCGCACGAGGCTTCGACTCTTTGAACCGCTTTGCGCCTGCTTTTAAAAACATCAAGATTTTTCTCAATTACAAAAACGTAGACAGTGCAATAAGAACTTCAATTAAGTTGATCTAGAATGAAAAAACAAATGACTTAGAATGCGAAGACAAGATATGTGCTAATTAGCATGATGTGGACTCCGATGGTTATGACAACGAAACTAATCACGAAGAAATAAAAAATCGATTGAGGAGAAAGGGCTTTAATATGATAGATGAGACAGTTGATGAATGACAAACGATAGAAGCTCTTGCGGAGAGGGGAAAGTATATGCCCTAGATGCAAAATTGCTGAAATTGATGAGAGAAAACTGTCCTAAGATGCGATCTGAACTGGGACCCGCGACTCGCTAGTGGCGTATAGTGTATCGAATTTGAATCCACATGCTGAACACCTAAACCGTTGAATCTAAATCCAATTCCAAACCCGCAGCCCTTGTGGCTAGCATGGGATATGAAATACCCAACAAAATTTATGAAATGAGAAACACACACGCGCGCACACACTTTGGTTTTGCTGAATTTTTAAATCAAAATCCGATCCAAACCAGCAACCAAATATTTCAAATTTTCAAACCAATATCTTAAATATTAATTTACGAACAGAACCAAGTCATCCAAAAATATTTGGTTCAGTTTGATTTTTAGGATATAACAAGACAGTGCAGACCCCTAATTTTCCATGAAAGAAAAGAGGTCTATGTTAAAATGAAATAAAAATATTTTTATACTACAGTTGTGATTTATGACACATCATTGGATCAAAATTTTAAAAAGGAGCTTTATGTTTAGATAGCATTTTGTATCAAATTTTTTGTTCATTACGAAATTATTGGCACTATTTTTCTTTTATTTTTTTTCACTTTGTTCATGCGCATGCTTGTTTATGTGAAATGACAAAAATGGAGTCTAGAATGGATTAATATCTTACTCCAAATGATAGATATTAAAAAAATGTGATCCAAATCTCTGCAATTAGGATTTACCTTCTATTTTTCTCTTTTATTAGAAAAAAGAACTAAAAGTTTAAGGGAAGGCCTGGTACTCCTTAATATTGTAGAATTAAAATATTTTCAATCAAAGCAATCAACTTTTCTCTATGAATTTATGTCTAACAGACAACAATTAATTGATGTTAAGCCCACCTTCATTTGATCTTTTTTTTTTCCAACATAAATATTGTTAATTCATTAGAATGAATTCCAACGAAATTTTCTCTTTCATTTTATTTTTTCATGTTTTATCTTGGATGTGCAGTTGGAGGCTCAAGAAGCAATTTTTAGGAAGTTATCTGACTTATGTGACTCCGTGGATTTATTTTGTGAAGCTCAGGAAGATCGGTTGACACAGTCATTGCTTGATTTGCCCATTTGGGGGAGCCCTAGAGCTCTCATGAGATCTTTGTGCAATTGATGTTAGAGAATCTGAACAATGGCCTATGCTCTTCAGTATGTATGTTTTTATTTTCATCCAGGAGAAAAAAGTAGATGTGATATTTTTTGCCCTCTCCTGCAATGTTGTGTGAGTGCTTCGATTTTTTTGTTGAGCATTTGCCTTTAAGGTGTACAGTAAGATAGCAATTTGATATCCTGGACTCTTGCTGAACAAGATTGTGCTGAATTGTAATGCAACTTCCTTAGTTTTATTAGTGGATAAATGCCTATTGATCTTAACAAAAATTTGAGTTTCAGGGTTTTGTGTCAGCAACCAGTTGTTACAATGCCATTTATGACATTAGCATAGCTGCATGTCTTTGCCATTTAGCTAAATCTCCTTTGGTAGGTACAAGAGGTAAATGCTTATTTAAATCTCTTGGTTGGTCACCTTAATTAAGATTTCTTCCATTCAAATTATTACTAATGCACACAATGAGATGCAAAGTGTGCAATTTCATCAAAAATTTGAAAGTATTGATGTAAGTTAAAATGTAGCTATTATTAGCTATTTGGTACACTGAAGCTAGAAGTGTATTAATAATGTGGCTTGCTTTATACAAATATCAAAGCATGATTTGTTGAGGATTAGATAACTAGTGAAGGTATTATATAGTCATCCCATGGAAACAAATTCCACAGGTGAGTTTTTTGATGTGCTGGGAAATGTTAAATTCTGCAAGAGTTACGATTTCCTTGCTGCACGCTGTCAGCATAGCTGCATGTCTTTGCCATTTAGCTAAATCTCCTTTGGTAGGTACAAGAGGTAAATGCTTATTTAAATCTCTTGGTTGGTCACCTTAATTAAGATTTCTTCCATTCAAATTATTACTAATGCACACAATGAGATGCAAAGTGTGCAATTTCATCAAAAATTTGAAACTATTGATGTAAGTTAAAGTGTAGCTATTATTAGCTATTTGGTACACTGAAGCTAGAAGTGTATTAATAATGTTGCTTGCTTTATACAAATATCAAAGCATGATTTGTTGAGGATTAGATAACTAGTGAAGGCATTATATAGTCATTCCATGGAAACAAATTCCACAAGTGAGTCTTTTGATGTGCTGGGAAATGTTAAATTATGCAAGTGTTACGATTTCCTTGCTGTTAGTTATGTACAAAACCGTGCTTCTCCTTTGCTTTAAATATAAATTTTTGTAAAGAGGCATTTTTGGTCAAGTTGTTATGTTATATTGATGAAAATTTTTAACCTCTCTCTATTTTTGAACTATTCAGTACGCAAGTAGTATTCTTCAAGTTGTATCTTGAACTTGTATCAACATGCAATTTTCATATATCACCAAATTTGTTCTACTCTTCTGTACATGAGAACTTTTTCTGCCTTATTCTTTTTTCATTTGTACTTAATTGCTTTATTTGTTGAGCTGTGGGGCAACCTGAATTTGGCATCCTTTTTCTCTATTTGATGTTTTTCTTGCTATATATGCAAAAGTATTTGAGTTATCAAGATTGTATTATTCTTAAAAAACCCTAAACAAAATTTGATTTGAAACAAAATGACATAAGTTAGTATTATGGGCGGTGTAACTATGCCATAATTGCATGTTTGTGCCCATTTTTTGTCATGAACATGCTAATGTTGCATCTGAGGGGTGTCTAGGCACCCTTCGATGCACGATGTTTAATGGACTAGGATTCCTAATACTTCTTGGATGATAAAATGAGTGTACTCAAAAAAGAAATTGAGATCAAATATCACTAATTAAACAGATGGAGAATTGATAGTCAAAAATATGTAAACTGTAATCAGATGATAATGCAACAATTAATTAATTCAAAGAAAGAAATGGAGAATTATAGCCACAAAAGTTCATGACCAATTGAATTTCTTACACCACTATTTAAATCCTATTTCAGTACATTTGATCAAAATTAGGACTCTTTAAAACCAATAACAAAATATTTTAGTGGAAAAATTGATATAGGGATCACTTTTGTGCATATGATATAATCCCCAGGCAATCTCTATTCAAAGGCAACTCATTAAGGTTGACTCTAATCGAAGGTTGACTTTAGTCGAACGATGATTTTCGAAGATGACCTAATTCATGGAATGACCAGCTTTATGTAAATTACAGTTATAAAGTAGTATATATTCAAATTCTCTTTTAAACTACACCATAGTTCTTCTGCAAACAGGTATTTTGTTGGATGCCCTTTGGCTATCTTTATGAAGAGTCTTGGGGTCAGTTAAGGGAGTTGGCTACGAATGATTGTTCCTCGGATTAGGTTCCACCAATTCTTTCTTTCGTCTGTGCTTTCATTCGGTCGAATCCTAGTTCCGATCGAAGGAAATGATGCTTGAAATGTTTGTCTTTTGATTATTATGATACAGTACTTCGATGTCCATTAGCGAGATCCATTGAATATCCTCGAGATTCATGCAGAGATTCATGCAACCATATTTTTTATTTATGTATTTAGCTCTTCAATTCTCTTACTCGTAAGTAACAACTGTGAAAAAAAAAGTAAGAGAATTAAATGCAAAAATCGACTTGATTATTGCATAATAAATGCTTCTAATAATTGAAATTCTAGATTTTCATTCGTGCATTCTTTATAAATAGGGCATAATCGTCACTTTTTCATCCCTCTTTATGAATTTATCCCATTTAGTCGGTTGTTATCAAAAAAGAGTAATGGACAACGACAAGAAAACCTGTGAATGCGGCAGCCAACATAAAGGCTTTTTGGGCTGTTGACCGAAAACTCTGCACACATACAAGGGAGAAAAAGAAACTAGAGGAAACCCGACTAGAGATAAAGACGCAACCCGAGGATGAGGGTCGAATGGTGGCAGCGAAGAGGCCGGAAGGGGAAGGCTGGTCAGTCGGCTGAAAGAGGCCGGGAGTAGGGGTTGAACAGAGGGAGAGAAGTTGGTTATGCAAGTGGTTTAGAAGAAGCAAAGGCTAGAGGAAATGCATGAGTCGCCTGACTCGATGCGACTACATTGTGAGATGGGGAGCAGAGCTGATGTGCACGTCACTAGAGTAACAATTCTTGCTCTTGTTGTGGTTCTTTTTACCGTTGCTTTCCCGACAATGACACCAGAATCTTGATCCGCCCTAGCGATTATCACAATAATGTAAGTCCTGACAATGACACCAGAAACTTGATCTAGTCCCTAATAAATAAATTAAGTTTTTAAAATTAGATATTACTACTCATTGGGGTTTATCACATGAGTATACATATCGTTTCGGTAATATAGGGCTCTATTCAGCCTAGATTGCCGATCCCATAGGGACGGAGGTAACGGGCCTTTAGGCGAAGTTCTAGTCTACTGCGGTAAGTTCTTAGTTGGAATGCAAATTAAAATAGTTTTTCGAAGAATTACTCCTAAATCATAATACTAAGTCCAAAGCTAAACCTAACTATATCAATTGGTTTGGTAAATATCAGGATATAAAAGCTAAGCTACATTTCTCTTGTGATGACCTAAGTGGATTGTAAGATTGAATACCAAGAATTGCTAATATGGCTAGTAACAAATAGTCGAATCCTAGTTCCGATCGAAGGAAATGATGCTTGGAATTTTTGTCTTTTGATTATTATGATGCAGTACTTCGATGTCCATAAGCGAGATCCATTGAATATCCTTGAGATTCATGCAACCATATTTTTTATTTATGTATTTAGCTCTTCAATTCTCTTACTCGTAAGTAACAACTGTGAAAAAAAAAGTAAGAGAATTAAATGCAAAAATCGACTTAATTATTGCATAATAAATGCTTCTAATAATTGAAATTCTAGATTTTCATTCGTGCATTCTTTATAAATAGGGCATGATCATCACTTTTTCATCACTCTTTCTGAATTTCCTCCCATTTAGTCGGTTGTTATAAAAAAAGAGTAATGGACAACGACAAGAAAACCCGTGAATGCGGCAGCCAACATAAAGGCTTTTTGGGCTGTTGACCGAAAACTCTGCACACATACAAGGGAGAAAAAGAAACTAGAGGAAACCCGACTAGAGATAAAGACGCAACCCGAGGATGAGGGTCGAATGGTGGCAGCGAAGAGGCCGGAAGGAGAAGGCTGGTCAGTCGGCTGAAAGAGGCCGGGAGTAGGGGTTGAACAGAGGGAGAGAAGTTGGTTATGCAAGTGGTTTAGAAGAAGCAAAGGCTAGAGGAAATGCATGAGTTGCCTGACTCGATGCGACTACATTGTGAGATGGGGAGCAGAGCTGATGTGCACGTCACTAGAGTAACAATCCTTGCTCTTGTTGTGGTTCTTTTTACCATTGCTTTCCCGACAATGACACCAAAATCTTGATCCGCCCTAGCGATTATCACAATAATGTAAGTCCTGACAATGACACCAGAAACTTGATCTAGTCCCTAATAAATAAATTAAGTTTTTAAAATTAGATATTACTACTCATTGGGGTTTATCACATGAGTATACATATCGTTTCGGCAATATAGGGCTCTATTGAGTCTAGATTGCCGATCCCATAGGGAAGGAGGTAACGGACCTTTAGGCGAAGTTCTAGTCTACTGCGCTAAGTTCTTAGTTGGAATGCAAATTAAAATAGTTTTTCGAAGAATTACTCCTAAATCATAATACTAAGTCCAAAGTTAAACCTAACTATATCAATTGGTTTGGTAAATATCAGGATATAAAAGCTACCTTTCTCTTGTGATTGCCTAAGTGGATTGTAAGATTGAATACCAAGAATTGCTAATATGGAATTGCTAATATGGCTAGTAACAAATAGGAACATATATCTTGTTTACCCTCTTCCAAATGCGTAAAGAAGGTTGGTTTAACTTGGTATGTGTTTTTGT